ACTTTTTCACTACGGTTAATTAGCCCACTAACTCTTTTATAATTATATCTTTAGTGTTTGATATTTTAATTTTAATAATTTTATTATTTAGTTCAATTTTAACAATTAATTTACTTATTGGATAGAAATATACATTTTAAATATTTCAAAAACTTTATATAATAAATACATCATATTCCAATAACATTCAACAAACTGCGGGACACCAAACTCTAGTTCTTTATATGAGTCCCTACCGGGTGCAGTCCAGCGTCTTCACTCTCCAGTGATGATTGATGACCAATTTGGTACCACAAAGTTGCAATCTTGGAGGTTAAAGTTGCTACCATAAACACATGGGGCCAATCTGGTGTCTTGGTCGTTTGTCTATGCACGAGAAATGGCAAAACTCGGTTGGTGGATCCAATAAAACAACATTACATAGAACTGGGAAAAAAAAAACAACGTTTCAGCGAAAGTGGTCACCTCCATAGATTTCAATCCTATGTTCAGGAAGTACTAAGGCAACAAAGGTCATACCCAAATTCCTTTTACAAAATGTTGCATACCCAGTTCAGTCTTCAACTCCTTATGTTCCCATAGCACAACAATTACAAAATTTAAAGATAGAAAAGAATGGGAAAGTAATTGAGTAAAGTTGGAACACAGGAATTGATTTATGTGCAATTTTGCCATCACAAAAGGAAACATCGTGCATGAGGTGTCTTGATCCTACCATAAAGGGGAGTAAAAGAAGAGGAAGGGACCCAAAGTAATTCCCAAGCCATCTTCTCATGCGATATGGGGAATAATAATAGCATGATATGAGTATGTCTCTCTATTACAACTCTGTAACATAATTAAAAGAGGTTAATGGCTATGGCAAAGAAAACATAATAGGTTAATAGGCTGTTACTTTTAATTACTCGGTAATTATCCGTTACAGACCTGTGCATTTAATAAAAAAGGGTCACAAAATTTTGATTTTGCACATTTAATTAAAACATGTATGAGCGAATAATAAACACTACAAAAATAATGAGGTTTGGGGACCAGAATAGGGAACGACCTTTCTATCTTGTCTCAGGAAATAGCTTTCTAAGTCATATTAGGCACAAGCATATTGTGTTGTCCCCGTAGAATAAAGGATACAATTTTATTAATTCTGCTAGTTAGTTTAGTTGTCCCCAAAAATAGTGAAGCGGAAATATACAATTGTGCGTGGATTTTTATTTTATAATATTGGAGGTGGATTTTTCCATGGGCGGATTAAGGAGATTCTTTTTTGTCCCCAAAGTTGGATCACAATGTGCAAGCAAGCAATGCACCATTAATTTTTTCTTTTAGTCTATCTTTCTCCGAGCCATCTTTATATTGTATTTATTTACTTATTTGGGCGTCATAATTCATGGGAATGAATACGAAATTGTTATATGGACAATATTTATAATAGTAATACCTATTATTTTTAATTTTTTGTCTTGCATTTTGATACCTAAACTTTTCAAAATTTACAAATAAGTCCACTGTTACGAAACTTCTGGTCTGTTTCTAGAAACTTTTGATATGCTTTATGAGGATTGTGATGTTGTTACGTTGATAAGAGTTGTGGTCTACTTTAAAATTCTTGTGATATGGTGAGGTTGTGGTCTCCTTTATAAGGTTTGTAGTTTTTTGTGGTATGGTTTTTTGTGCTTGTAGTCTTGATTTTGTGGTATGCTTTACGAGACTTGTGGTATGCTTTTTAAACTTGTGGTATGGTGAGGTTGTGGTTTCCTTCCTAAGGTTTGTGGTTTCTTGTGTTTGTCGGCTGCTTCATGAGACTTGTGTTCTACTTTAAGAAATTTGTGGTATGTTATTACAAACTTGTGATGTGGCGAGGTTGTGGTCTCCTTTCTAAAATTTGTGGTATGGTTTCTTGTGTTAGTGATCTGAATTTTGTATTCCCCCTCCCTCTCTCATTTAATGCACAAGACACGTTGGTTTCCTCTCCCTTCTCTAGTATTTATCTGTGTTATTAAAACCGGACCGGACCGGCCGGTCAGACCGGTAAAAACCGGACCCGGGCACAAGTCCAGCCCCGGAAGCAAGAAAACGGGCGGCTGGGGAAATATAGCTGGCGCCTACTTTTTGCAATTTTTTAATTGATTAATAATGAAAAGCAAACAAGGTAAGTGAAAATAAATGTGACCCAACATCAGCCCTTCCACTATTGTTAGCGTTTTGATATTTTTTAATTCTTATTCTATATTTTTCTCTTCTTTTTTTAGAATCGAGTACCGGTTTGTGAACGGTTTTTAATACCGCTTAATCAACGGTTATCCGATAAACCTTAAACCTCTCATTAATCCGGATCGATGTCCGGTTCGGTTTTCACAACACTGGTATTTATTAATGACCAATGTGCCCCTCCGTCCCTTCCCCAATTTTTAAATGAAAAGGTCATCCACACGAAATGTTCATATTGGCTCGAGCAAGTATTAGCAACATGCTAAAAAAAATTTGTTCGCATCCTAGTTAGGAGTGGGCATCGGTCCGGTCCGGACCAAACTCTAGAGAAATGCAGTCCAATAGTTAAAGATATCTTAGGACCAATGACCGAACCAATAGTGCATTTGGTCCACTTTAATTCGTTTTGGTCTGGTCCAAATATCAATTCAGTCTATTTTCTTCAGTATTTATAAAATTATGGGACCAAGAAACGAACCATATTATGGGACCAACCCATTGTCCACCCATAATCTTAGTCATTCTCTCACATACTGTTTGGTATAAATAACATACCAAATACAAGAATTCATTTGACATTGAATTTTACACAACAATTCATTTTATTTCTAAAGATTTGAATATGATATACCAAACACAAGATTTCATTTGGCAATGAATTTTACACAGTATTTCATTTTACAATGAAATGAATTCTCGATTCATTAACGGTATGCTAGAAATATTTCTGTTAGCATGTACAAAGTCATTATCATGAATTCTAATAATATAATTATTGCCTTTTCACTTAATATGAATATGTGATGTCTCTGTTATCTATAAAATGAAACTTAAAGATCCCTAATATTATTTGGCGTCCCTATCCACTAAACCACAATTTCGTTTCCATTATTTCTTTCCCCTCCATCCCGAATCCCCCATTCCCTCATATCTCCGAAAAATCCTGAGTTACTCTTGATTTTCTTTCCGTAAGATAAACCCAAAATATTTATACAAACCCTACATATTCTTTTGTTCGGTATTCCCCTCAGACTCACGAGCTGCCGCCTGCGATAGAGTCAAGAAGTACGTTCCAACGACTGATTTTCTTCAATAGTTTATTAGTTTTCCAGTAAGTTCCAATGATTGAGTCCTCTTTTCGGCATTGAGACTTTCATCTTTGATTGATCCTTTTCGTTTTGTTATTGCTGATGATCATTGGAAATAGATTTGGATCTCTCTGGTAGGATTGATCATTCTAAGATGAAGTGGAAATTCTACCCGCATAACAGTGGGACTTTTGCTTATTTCCGTTCATGCTTTGATGTTGTTCCCCTCGTCTGCTAATCTTTTCTTTTGGGCGACGAGGCGTGATTGCTTTCTCATAGTCCTCATGTTGTCTAAGGAATGATATGTGCTTAAATCCTCTGTTTTACACCTGTTTTCTGAGCAGCGTACTTGCTTCTCTTCTCTACCTTGCGTCCCTACTTCTCTTTTTCCGAGTTGCGTTCCTAGTTTAATTGATTAAGTCTAGGGTACATAGACTTGCGGACCAAATTAAGATGTTCTAATCTTCTCTTTTCCGAGCAGTGACTCTTGTTTGAATTGATTAAGGCTAGGGTATATGAGCTTGCAAACCAAACCGAGTGTCCTTATCTATTTCTCAACTCCAAGTTTTGTTTTGTTATTTTTGTCCTTTTAACTTCTTTGTTAATTTGTTTCGAATGTTATTTTTCATTCTAACCATTATAGTAATTCTTTGTGCAGTAATGGTTCGTGCAATCAACACAAGAGCGAAAACATATAACTTGTTCCAGAAATTGAAGTGTTTTCCAATAATCTGCAATTCAATCAGTCGTCCAGAAAGATAGAGACTAAAAACAATCGGTTGCCCCTACAAGTATATAAATGACAAATTGACGACCCTAAAGACACTGCTTAGGGACGATTGGTCGTCCCTACCAATTAAATATGTGATTAAATATGCTTAGGGATAATTATTCGTTCTCATAATGTGCATAAGTGACAACTCCTCGTCCCCCAGTACACAAGTTAAGAGATAATTGTTTGTCCCTAAAAATCATTTGTGACAACTTGTCGTCTCTAAAAATATAGTATAGGAGACCATTCGTAGTCCTTGAATAAAACTTTTGGGGACGAATTTTGGACTCTAATTTGACACATATAGGAATGACTTGTCGACCCTACAAAAAGAAAAGGGGACAACAAATTATCCCCATATTGGCCCAACGCAATTGTAAAATTGATTATGTGGGACAACAATTTGTCCCTAGAAATGATGTTTAGGGACGACTTATTGCCACTAAAATTATAGCTACGGGACGCCTTATTGTCGCTAAAGTTATAACTATGGAGACGACATGTTGTCTTTCATGAAAAAGAAACGAGATGATGGCTTGCGGATATCAGGGACGACTGTCGTCCCCATTATTGGGGACGACCAAAATTTTTGTCGTCCCTTAAAGAATAGAGGACAAGAGTATAGGGAGCCACACCATGGGGACAACTTAGTCGTCCCCAAAAACTATAGGGACGATTTTCCCGATTTCCGGGGACGACTTTTGTCGTCCCCAAACCTCCTCTTTTTTGTAGTGAAAGAGGTCATTCCGTCCATCTCCATTCAAAAATTTGTTACTTTCGCCCAATCAACACGCCACGTCTAGAGGTATCTAAATAGAACCCGACTGAGTAACCCGTCTGGTCGACTTGATCTCCACCCAAACTGACGGGTTTGTCCTCTCTTCCTCAGGAAGCGCAGCTACTGAAGGTCTCATCCGAGATTGCCTGGGAAGATGTCCTGTGGCCTTTGCAAGCAACTTAGGGACTTGCTCGATCACCGTAGTAGAGCTCAAAGGAGCAGTGGTGGGACTTCAGATGGCCTGGGAGAGAGGTCACCGCAAAGTTCAGCTGAACCTCGACTCTGCCACTACGGTGGCTATCATCAAGAATTGCGGGGATCATGATGATCAAAGACATGGTCTTCTTGCGCAACATGTCTGCAACCTTTTGAGTCGTGATTGGGACGATGTTGTCTCTCACGTGTATAGGAAAGGAAATAGAACGACGGACTATCTTGCTAGTCTTTGGCCATAGCCTACCTTTTGGAACACATCATGTTGATGTGTGTTGCCCTAATCTTTATAGGTGGTTAGATTATGATGTTATGGGAATCTCCCAGCCTCGATTTATTAATATATGATCCTAGACGTCGTTGGCGTCTGTCTTTCTACCAAAAAAAAAAGAGAGAGAAGAAATGTAGATTCAAATCAAGTACATATTTGAGTATTGGGTTGCATTTGGAAGGAGGCTTAGAGGGTTGGATCATGACCCGACTGGTATTAGATTCAGAGTCGGTCCTGAGAATGTAGAGATCCTATTCTAAAAATAAAATGAGGTCCAGTTCTATAAATAAAATGAGACTCAATTTTCTATAAAATTTAATGAAATATAAGTAAATTAATAAACAAAATTAAAATATTAATTTAAAACAATAATATTTAAAATAAAGAGTGATATTGGTTTAAGTAGAAAGATAAAATTAAAGATCAGAATCCAAATAGTAACTAAATTATAACAAAAGCATATGACGTGTTTTGTATTCTGAAAAACTGTAAAATACATTCGATCTCTAACAATGCTCTACAAATCTCTCTCGATATATCTTACTAGACAAGCGGAGGTCATAATTGGGTTTTAATGTTAGCTTTTGAAAATAATTGGAATAAGTTATAGATTTTTACTATTATATTTGGATTAAAAATGAAAAAATAGATGAGTTTGTGTTCTAATGAAAAATATATTTACTAATAAAAGCAATGATACAAATTCAAATAAAATAGGATACCACTTAAATGTTGTTATTTGACCGTACGCAAACTACTACCAGGGGTTAAATAGTCGTTTTCCAAATTTAGAGATGTCCTGCTACCACTTAAATATTTTTTTCAACCATACACAAGTCATTATCGAGAATCGAATATTCGTTTTCCGTAATTTTAGAGATGTCTCAGGACACCCTTTAAATCCCATGGATCCCCCACTGGATCGAAGGCCCTCGTAATTTGGAGGTCCTGTATCGGAGGGTCTTCTGGCACACTCCTAGGGTCGGGCCTGATAGACCAAATATTATCTAAATTCAAAAAATTTATAGTGCTATACTAGCTCTAGACCCAAAGGAGGGCTAGGTCGTAGCTAGGGCAGGCCTTCCTTGGATTCGCCATTGGATTCAAATCTTAATGAAACTCGATGAGTGTATAAATCAATAATGGTTTTTGTTGACGACGAAAATTAGAATTGACTTTTCAAAATTTTGTTGAGGGCGAAGATGAGATTTGACTCTAGGCTTGAATTTAGGAATTTCAAAATTTGGGAAAAGGGAAAAAAGTGAGAGGATGAAGAAAGAGGGAACAAAAGCAAAAATGCGGGAATAAGTTCTCCTCACAAATTTTAGGGGTGTTCCGAGAAATGGCTTGGACCCGCCATTGTTTACACCCTCATCTCCGACCTAACACTCGGATTATAGTAGATGACACCTGAGTTTAGCATGTCTGCGACATCTCTAATATGAGAAACGTGACAAAGACTTTTTCTTCATAAAAAAGAAGACATAATACTAATTTTATTAGCCAACATTCGTAATAATATCCCTTCCATCATGAATACAACTTATACAAGAATATCATGAGTTGGGAAGGAGGAAAAAAGAAGTATTGGCTTGCTTTAACTCGAAGAAAACTATAGACAAGTGGGTACGTGGGGTTGAGAATACTAAAGGGAATTGATCATGAAGAACCTAACTATTATGTCTATACAAAGTAAGGGAACCTAATTATGCATTCTGTGGACCATACGATATGATGAATGTATTGCAGCAGCAAATTAATTGTGTTTCCTGTAAGTAGCCCCATCCTAATTAATTACTCTTCACTTTTAAAGGAATGGAGAAAAAAGAGAGAATTACGGGAGTGAGTTTTGAGGCCAGATTGGGAATAGAACTATAACATGCATGTGTGGAGACTGGAGTGCAGTTATCATTTCATTTCACAGCTTTATCTTTCTCTCTTTCCCACCACCAGAAACCAATTAACAAAGCTGGGGCGGGGGCTACTTCCACACAGTTCATTCTTAGGGCATGTTTACTTTTTCTTTCATCTTTTTAGGGCACTTTGCATGCATTTAGGAACCTTAGGCATGTGCAGAGGATTAAATGACCTGTTTGGGCCATTTTGGGCCCAGTTTGTTAGTTGCAGGCTTGGAGCATTCAATAATATACCGTTGACATTTATACTCCTCGGAAAATCTTCCATAAAAATGACAAGAGAGAAAGATGAACAAAATTACCACAACTGAAAGATAGTTTATTTTCCACACACAACAAATAGTTTATTTTCTTCCTCCACAAAACTGAGCTCACAAACCATATATATAGTTTGTATGTAGCATAGCATAATAATATATATTTAATTAGTGTTTCCACCACTACAATTTCCTCCCTTTTTTTTTTTTTTTGCTTAAATTTACAGAAGAAAACAAACCCTAATCAATGATTTGTATAGTCAACGCATCCCCCATTAAACACCAGGCAGAGATCGTGAGGGAAATTGAGAGAAACTAATTAATTAATTAATCAAGAAGAAGAAGAAAAACCCAAATCCTCAATTTGAGAGAAAAACCCACCGCAAGAAGAAAAAGGCAATGGTGAATTAATTAAATTAAGGGCATCTGATGTTTCTGCCAGGGCCTCCGTAGTAGAAGTAGTCCCCCCAGACTCGGTTGATCCCGCCTTGGATGTCGTAGCAGTTTGGGTGGTCGGCGAGGAGCTTGAGGTTGGAGAGAGGGATGAGGTTGTTGTCCCAATCCACCACCTGCAGGTTCCTGAAGTAGGACGCCTTCCCGAACCCTTCCCCGGCGAAGTGCCCGCTCCCCATCTGCGTCGCCGTGTGGAACCCCGACGCCCGCGAGTTCACCGTCTCCCCTCCGAACTGCACCATCGTCGCATGCTCCCGCAGGTGCGTGAACAGGAACGACGGCCAGTAACCCACCAGCACCCCCGACCCGAACTCCAGCCACCAGTTCCCGTGCTTCGGGTCCTGTAGTGTTCATCACAAAACTCACAAACATTACATATATGAATTTCCCCATTTTCGTCCCACAATCACAATCTTCCTAGCTATATGAATTTCCATCTTGATTTTCATTTGTTACCTTCCAAATCAACAAGCTAATGTCGAATTGGCCACCGGTGTACGACGAAGTTGGGGAAATGGCGGCTCCGATCGCGATTCGATTGTTGGTCTGGACGAACCCTGAGCAGAGTAAATTGTAGCACCCAGTTGCTTGATAAGCATCCGTCTGGAAGTTCCCAAAGAAAAATAATGAGAAAAGTTCAGAGCAGTTTTTTTCCCCATACTAAATTAGTTCGAATTGGATTGTCAAATGTACGTATTGGGAAGAAAAGAGTAGTGAATAGTGTAGGTATGAACGAGTGAGTATATACTTACAGTCCAGTACGTGAAGAACCTGGGGTAGTTGTCCCCATACAGCTCAGGGCTAACCTGCCAACAAGCAAGCAAGAAGTAAATGAATGAATATTTTATTGATCGATGAAAAAGATACGTAGTTGAGATTTGAGATGCAAGAGAAAAGCAGTGGGCTTATTAAATGCGAAACCTTCCAAATCAACAAATAGCTCCAAATTGCGTTGAAAATTGGAGCGTAATTAACTACAAACAGACAATATATAAACCCCCATTCCCATGCATGTTGTTGCGTGTTACGGAAATTTCCTTCCCAGCAATTTCCGTGCAAATTAACTTGGCTTGTAGTAAGCAACGACGACGACTAACTATATTGGATAAACAACAATGGCAAACTGAAACCTTCGCTAGCTGTCCTTTTCATGGCCCAGTTAGTTAGTTAGTTAGGTTAGACGTTGTTGTAATGTATCCATCCATCCTTTTTTTGTTGTTGTATTATTTAGGAGACAGGTAGGTCAAATCGTACGTAACTCAAACTCACTGTTGAGGAAAGAAAAGTCAATCCTACTTAATTAACTTAACTCTGTATTGAAAGATGACGTACGTACCTGCCAGCCAGCTTCGATGGTGTTGAGATCGTCGCCAAAGGAGCCGGAGATGACCCACATCTGCGACAGGCTGAACTCGTATTGGTTCGCCACCGACGGAGCCCATACGTTTATGCTTGCCTTGGCTCCGTAGTATTGATCGCCGCTCACATATCCAACTGCATGCTGTCCCAATTTCAACAGAAAAAAAAATTAATAAAAATAAACTATCTCCTGAGAAATTCTACATGGAATGGAAATGGAAGGCAGAAGGAATCCCGGGAATGATGGGAAAAGGAAGAAAAGCGGTCTGGTAGTGGTGGGTGGGTGGGTGGCCACTGGGTTTATTGGATTGAGTTCTCGAGATGGAAACCTTATGGAATTATAAATAAATAAATAAATAAAAAGAAAATGTTTGGAAGAAAGCAGGTTTTTGGATTATTGGCTACCACACTAATCTCCTCACTATTACTCTTAAATGTAGTTTTGTCTGGACAATGAGAAAACCCAGACAAGATTAAGAAAAAGCAAAGGGATAGAGAGGAGGACGCTGAGCGAGCACTAGTAGTAGCAGAAGTCACTTTGCTTTATGCCATTTTGTTTGACTGAAATTCCCCACACCTTTATGCTTTTTTTTTTCTTAGACGTGAAGCGAAAGAAAACAAGAATGAAATCTGAGTTGCTTGCCTTCTTTTTTGTTTTTTCTCCTCTTGCTCATTTTCCTTTTTCCATTGGCGTGTGGCAAATTGTTCAAGAATTGAAGGAAAGAGAGAGGAGAGGAGAGTCACCTCATGGCCATTGCTGTTGGTGTCTCTGCGGACGTGCCTCTTGAGCTTCTTCCCAAATGATCTGAAACTGCTTGCCCTCACCATATCCTCTTCCGACGTTCTTCTGATCGGAATCGTTCCTTCCGGGCACGATTCCCCCGACAGCCTCCACGCCTGGAAATTCTCTTCTGCACTCCCTGCTGTTGATGCTGGACTATGCCCCTCTGGTCTCTCTGGTGGATCCTGCAAATGTTGCCCAATTCAGAACAGAGCATTATTTGATCAAGCAAATTCCACTCTTGACTTTGCCCCAAGAATTTGCTTTTTTTGACTACTTGGGAAACATTAACATACATACCAATGGCTTCTGGCCTTTCAATTGGGGATGATCGAAAGCGGGTTGCTGGTGGGACGGAACACAGTCTATGACATCGCCATCAGGACTCTGTTGATCAGAAAGAAACGAAAAAGACAAATTAGAGTTTGGGTGGGAAATTCAGAACCAAGAGAGAATTAGGACATGACCAGTGAGAGGGGGAATATAACAGAGACAAAAAAGAAAAAAATTACCTGAATCGTCTTCACAGGAGGCTTGTTGATCTTGTTGAGTCGCTCCCTGATGCTTTTCAGCTTCTGCAACTCTTCCCCAGGATGCAAAACTTGGTGGGTTCCGTTGTTCCCGGTCTCAGAGGAGACAACGAATGTGAAAATTGGGGAAGAAGGGGAAATTAGGAAGAGAAGAAGGAAACAGAGGAAAAAAGGGGAGATTTTCCCTTTGTTGATGATGATGCTGCCGTTGCTAGCGTGACAAAACGGGCTGCACTCCGCCACGCCTTCATTCGAGAAATCGAGCTTCGGGTTTTTCGTTTCTCGCCCTGAATCGGAGGATTCTGTTGATGTTGTTGTCGTTGTAGTTTGCAAGTGTCGTTGCCTGCTACATTGCTGCGGGTGGGCTACTTCTGCTTGTCGTTGCTGTGCTTGTCCTGTTCTGAGATCGAGAAGGCGGCAGCTGCAATTTTGATTCTTCCGACTACACCTTTGGTTTCTTGCTGTTGTTGTTGTTGTGTCCAGGCAACAGCTTCCTGAAATCGTCATTCCCTTCTTCCCTGGTTGAGATCGGAACTAGCAGTTTTCCTTTCCCTTTAGCTTCTCGTCGCCATTTCCAAAGCTCTTCCAACAACACTAGTGTAAGTAAAATGCACTGAAGCTTCCTCCTCTTCTTCTCCTCAAATCAAACCCCAAAAAAAGAAAACCAAAACAGAGTAGCTAGCTTGCGTTGCTTTTTGGGGAGAGCCTAGAAAACTGCTGCAAGCTACCTTTCTTGGTATTGTTTGTTAAATCTCATTTATATATAATAATAAAAATGACATTTGGGTTTTGGGGGAGAGGGATTGGGCATGTGGGGGATATTAATACAGCGTGCGTAGTGATGAAATCATGCTGATATTAAAATGTTTGGGGCCGAAAATGCAAAAGAAATTATGCCGGAGAGTGGAGGGGAGAGAGAAAGAGAATGGATCTGATTATGTTTCCAGTCTCCAATACAAAGACTGAAGCCTTCAGCTTTCCTGTGGGGTTTTCTAAAAACAAGAAAAAGAAAAGGAAAATGATGAGCAGCAGCAGGCCAGCAGCACGTAGCTGGGATTGGGTTGGGTTGGGCTGTGTGTTTTCTGTGTTGTTTATTCGTTACGTTGGTAGAGGAAGAAGACAGATTAGAATTTAGTTTGCGCTTCGGGTTTGGGATTTCGGGTGTCTCTCCAATGTTTCTTTTTTCCCAGTTCCTAAATGTTCTATCTTCTAAATATTCTTCAGTAATTTAATTAGGTAGATAAAAGAAACGAAAATCTTAAAATTCTCAAGACTAAAGCCGCCCCACTTTATTGTTTCGTTTCACATAAGAAAACTTCCCAGGAATTTGTTTATTCGGTTGAATTGTCAAAGAATCGAGAGATTTAATTGTTTTACAGAGAATAGAGAAAGCACAATGAATGAAGCAAGGTTCAAAAAAGTTTTAAGCGTAAGGCGAGCACTTGGCTCCTAGCTTGCGCATAGCCTGTTTAAGCGTCGCCTAAGCACACCTAAACGTTCGGAGCAGAAATGAAAAACTTTCTCACAATTTCAACCTTTTTAGAATAATTTAATATGATCAAAACTAACCATCTCATCTATTCTATTTCACCAATGAAACTATTCATTGCAATAGGCAGGCAACTTCGATGCCTTTAATTAAGAGGCCAAATTCTAAACAAAACTACAAACTACAAACTTGAAGAATCTCGAGATTAACCCTAAGTTGTTATTTTTTTATTAGATATTCCAAAATCCCACACTATCTACTTTTTTCCCAATTGTGCCTATTACATTTTTGTAACTTCCAAAATTTCCCTAACCCACCATTCATCCCACACAAGCGAAGAACCCGACCTTCCTTATTACTTGCAGTGGCTAATCGACGGTCAACTTCCCTTCTCCCTCACGATTTCTCTCTCCCTCGTCATTTGCCTAATTTTCCAGAAGCGGTCGTCGTAAAGTTCTCTGTAGATTCGTTTTCATTGTTCTTTTCTAGGTCATAGGTTTGGGATTCAAATTTAAGGAGTTTGGGCGTGTTCCCATTTTTGTGTCGAATCGGAGGATCCGACCGAGAGCAATTGAGGGAATGACAAGAACCGTGATGATCTTAAGAAGATTTTGAATCGTTTCATCTCAGGTCACAATCGTTGGGATCTCCTAAAAGCATTGCTCTGCTGGTCGGGTCACAATCGTAGTTGTCTCCTACAATCGTCACTCTATTGTGAGGGTAACAGTTGTCATGCGAGATAAGCTATTATAAGTATGGTTGGGAAGATCTATAAAGATCGGCGACAACGGCAACCCTGGAACCCACCGGGCGATGAGACCCCTAAATCTGAGTTTCTGGGTCTCTCAAATTCCTTGTCGGGAGAATTAAATGTGGCCAATCGACCTTGCCATCATCTCTTTCGTGATGCTCTAGATAAATTGAGCTTCAGAAAGATCGAAGCTTGGGTGCTCTGGATTTTTTTTGTTGTTGCGAATTTGTGCTCTGGGTTTTGGTTCAACGAGGAACAAATGGGAGAAGGAAGAATGAATGATCAAGTGTGGCGTCATTGTGGTTCGGACTCCCAATGGCGAACTCGTCCCACCACCGCTTAGTCGCTTTTTAATGCCTTGGACTACTAATTGCTGCTCAGGCGCAATTCTTCACGCAAAAGTGTTTCTAGCGCTAATATTAACGCCTATGGGTAAAACAAAGCATTGGATGAACGCCTAGAGCTTAAGTCCGCAGAAGCGGATGCCTAGGCGCGCTTTCTTGAAGGATGGTATTAGGCCACCCCTTCTGACACTGGTCTGCCCTTCATAGCTGGTTTTACTCTAACTCGAACGAGTTACTATATCTAATGCCTCTTATCACTGGCTACTAAACTTCTAGCCCCTAAAGTCTATTTGTAGGCTTTCTATTAGGCTTTCAAGGGAGGAAAGTTCGATCTTAAATGCTTCTTCCGAATCCAAAAAGTCTCCTTCAGTTTAGCCACCACGAAAGGAATATTCTGGGTGAATTTGGGCATTTTCTGGACTATTCCAAAACGCCGGCCAAGGCATCGCTTTGGACTTTAGGATGCTGAGTCTGGCGTCGTTTCTTGACTTCCCTTTATGCTAGATTCTTGCTCCTATCAGTCGAGTCTTGATGTCTCCCAACACGCACAAAGTGGTCCACTAGGATGTTATGCCCTAAAAACAAACGAAACACTACACGATTGTATCAAAATGATAAAGCAATTCTAAAGCTATAAAAACACACTTTGAGTGATCATGAAGCAAATTCAAGATATAATAACGATAAATATGTGAAAACCACGAAGTTTTTGGCCATAACATGAGGGATCTAAAATAGTACTTTCTATGTGTCATCAGCCTCTAAAGAAGGGGCAGGTACACTCGATGTGCTTCATACACTTGTGTTGAAATGGATTTACTGCCATGTGTATGGCAGATCGACCATCGCAATGGATGAGTAAAGGTTGTTTGAATGGTTGATAAAGTTCCTGGAGCATACAAGTGAACCATCGCAGTTCACAAGTAGTGTTAGTTATAGCTCGTACGCTACCTCTATAGAGAAGTGCAGACCACTTGTTGTTTTTGGGCTGTCTAGGAGACTAGTGAGTGACCAAGCATCACCCACAATAGCTTGTGGTAGACCATCTATTGTCAATGCAACTTGCACAATTAGAGTATGAATAAGCTTGAATGATGAGGGATGGTGTAGCAGAAAACTGGAGTCCATGATTTGGAGCTGCTTTAATTTATTTGAGAACTTGTTGTGAAGCTTGTTGATGTATAGTACGTGGGTGAGCAACCAATTAACTAAGTAGACGAATCGTGAACCAGATATTTCCTTTGGTGTTACAAAGGTATTGCAACTTACTTAATAGGGTTTGTATGTAGTCTCTTCATTTTAGAGAAGTAGCTTGCATTCTACTTAAGAATGCTTTAAATGTGGCTCAAGTGGTGTAGCTGGTCGTCTCCTCTAGAAGGTATTTTGGAAGAGCCTCTGGTACTGCTGGATGTGTTTGTGCTAGAGCTTTTGTAAGTAATAGAGGATGTGATATTAGGTGGATTGGTGGGGTTGGTTGTAAGTTGGAAGGAGGTAGTGTGGATAGTTAATGGAATTTGAAAAGAAATAAGCAGAGAGATGTTATGGGGTGAATTATGTACATGTTGAGTGTTGGGGCTTTGTATTGTCTGAAAGCGGAAAATGTGCTCTTTGAATATTACATCTATAGATTTTTTTTTTTTTTTGTGTGTGTTGAGGTCGAATAGCTTGTAACCTTTAGTTCCTGCAACAGAGCCTAAAAAACAGATGGAGTTACTAGAAGCCAACTTGGACCTATTATTTTGTAGGGTGGATTCATAACATAAAGATACAAAGACTCTAAGGGGTTGTTTGGATGCATAATTTCATTTTGAGAGATTTTGGTCCCAACCCACATCCATAAGCCAATATCATTCAAAAAAGAAATTTGAGCCAAACTCAATGTTTGGGTTTTCAATAAATAAATAAGAAGTCTATCTTGTCCCTTTATTGTTCATCATCATTTTTTTCTCCCTTTATTCTTTTTCTGCAACCTAGAATCTGTCAGCGCCATTCTTGATACCGAGCTTCACTGGTCTCACAGTCTTTTTGCACAATAATAGACTACCTAGAATGGTACGCGCAAGATAAGCATCCAACAAGGAGCTTGACCATTCTTGATAGCTATCGTTGCATCATTTCTCTTGGAGCGATGATAGCATAGCATTCCAAACTTAATAAACTATCAATTTTGGGCAAGATAGAATGATAAATCAAAGAATCCTAAAAACCCTATTTCTGGAGGGAATGATGAATCGAAGAATCCCAAAACCTTAAATTCATAGGGATGAAGATTGAAGAACAACCCTGATTTTCATGGGCAATCATTGACAAGAATCACACATGTTATAACTTGCCCATGCTCGTAGAATTGTACTGGTTACGATGGCTAATGCATGCAGACTTGAGATGGAGTTGAATTAGAATCATCGTTGAAAACACTTTGGTTCATCTCCAAAATTCATTCGAGTTCTCGTCCAAATTTACAATCGGCTGGGTGAGGGGAAAATGAAGGGATTTGTTCTTGGAGAGAAGACATAGGGCGGAGTAGGGGTGGACATCGGTTTCATTTGGTCTAACCAAACCGAAATGGTGCATACCGGGTCCCTAATGTCCACCAAACCTCAAACCAATTTTGAACCAAATTATTTTTCGGTTTGGTCAGTTCGCACCGAAGGCTTAAACCGGACCGAACCGACACTTATCCTTTCTCGAGTATTTTTGGATATGCTCTCATCTCATATCAAACCATGATTGACTCCCTTTTTTTTTCTCTTCCGGTTCATTTTCCCTCTCCATCTCTCTCCTTTCTTCCACTCTACATGCAGTCACAAAACACTAAAAATCAACAGATGAGGGAACCCAGGGAAGGAAGGGAAGCGGCTCTAGACAAGGTGGAGGGGAAGAGTGACGACGGAGAGAAGGGAGTGTACCACCGTCAGCTCCACCCTCGATGCTGCAGAGTACACCACCCTCCTCAAGATCGAGAACACCACCGATGATTTGCTAGCACCAGAATCATCCGACGTGGCATCACCTTTCCAGTTCACTCGCTTCCCTTGGACGAAATATAGAAATGCTCTTACCTCTTTTCTCGATGGCAAGAAGATCTACTCTTCTTCTCCTTCTCCCTTCCTTTCACCTACAGATCTGAAAGAAGTATTGGGCGTCGCGTCCTATTTAAGGCCTTTCTCTCTCTCTCTCTCTCTCTCTCTCTCTCTTCTCATTATGATGCTTGTAGACAAAGCCAACCTAT